GATCCTCTCCCTGGGGGCCAACCCGCCTAGGTTGTTTAGAAGAGACGAGTTTGGGACAGTTATTACGACAGTGTCCTGCCTCTTGGCATTCAAGGCATCGATCCCCACGTGGTTTCAACATATCCAATACTGCGTCCAACTTTCTGTTAACTGCATCCACCTGATCTTCGAGGCCGGTTAACCTTCTTTCAGTGTTGCATGATGGAGATGGGGATGGTTTCTGGCCTGTCGTAACCGGTTTACTTGCGGGTATGACTGCAGCTTGCCTTGCAGGAGCGGAGGATCTGGGATAGTTGGAATTACCACCCCGGTTGTAACGTTCGCTTTCTTGTTGGCATTTTGCAGCCCTGCAGTTTCTGCTCCCTGCATCTTCATTATTGGAGTAAGGAGATGATGAGTGTTGAGTGACATGGGTAGCAGACTTGATCATGGACTTTCCACTATTTCGAGATCTGCTCCCACTCTTACCATACAACTTCCGCAGGCTGTAATACTGTTTATACTCAGTCAAAGCCTCTGCCAGAGAAGAAACTTGCTTGTGGAGGACATATCTCCCAGCCTCTGCATCCCGGCAACCAAGACAGAACCTTGTAAGAGCTTGCTGACGGATCCAGGCGTTTGGTAGATCTTTGTATGCCTTTCGTGGCATGGTCATGACTCGATCACCCCACTCGTTGACGGATTCGTCCTCACGTTGAGTGGCGGTCTCCAGTCTAGCTTGCAGGACGGCGGGCAAGTCTTCCTCCCCGAAGCGTTTGTCAAAGGCCTTCAAGATCTTCTTAAAGGTGATCTTATGGTCCATTTCTAGGAGATTCACATAGAAATCAGCCGCAGGTCCCTCCACACACCAACAGAGTGTTTCGATTCTAGCTTTTGGTGAGAGCTCATACTCTTCAGTATATACCATAAAGCGTCTCTTAAAGAAAGACCAGCTTCCTTTGCCTTTGAATATGAGATTCTTTGGGATGTCCCTCGGCTTGAGGGTACACATCTCGGGTCTATAATCTCCCTGTCGTGGGCTGTGTCTACGATAATCCTCCCATCGTTGACGAGGTCTATAGTAATCTTCCAGTCGTTGATCATGTCTATAGTCTTCCCATTTTTGATCAGGTCTAGGATAATTTTCTCGACGCTGATCAGCTCTGACGTGTTCCTGAAAGGTTTGCAGACCTCGCAAAACCTCACTATCATCCTCATCAAAACTTCCCTCACTCTCACTTTCACTATCACTCTCCTCCTCACTCTCACTTTCATTATCACTCTCCTCCTCACTCTCACTTTCATTATCACTCTCCTCCTCACTCTCACTTTCACTATCACTCTCCTCCTCACTCTCACTTTCTTCGGAGGATTCGACAGTACGGCAGGTTTGCCTGATTTTCCCCTTAGGTGATGACTTACCCAACCGGGATGCTGGCCCATAATACGGATCCAGGAAATCTGGACCCGACCCACCCTGTGCAGGAGCGCGAGATGGTCTAATCCCGGAACGGAACGCCATTTCATGTTGGTAATGAGAGGGGTTTGTGGAAGGAGTTAATGGGAGCTGTCGACTACTGGAAGCAGCAGCCAGGTCCTTGCTATCAGCCTGCGAGGATACTGAACGTATCACTGTATGTACACCATTTCCTCCCCATTCAGGATTAGGAGTGAAGTCTATATGCTTCTCTAAATTGGACCTGCTAACCCCTTTAATAACATCTAAGCTATCCGGCGTTAAGTTCCCATGACGTGATCTCCAACGGATTATCTGTTGAGCCTGTTTTTTATTTACACATGGGAATTTATACAGATCTCTCTCGTCACAGAAATTTATTTTAACAATAAAATTAAACTTTGACATTGCTTATGGGAAAAATTGCACATACGGGTCAAAGGTCAAATAGGTAAAATTGAAATAAGTGGGTTAGCAATGATAAAATTATACAATAGATCAATGCTTCACAAATATCAATTTAAAACCTGAAATCCAAGGCAATCTGATTAAAAATAGATATGCAAGTATAAATGTGAATACAAATATAAAATATCTAAAATAACATGTATCACACAAGCTACAATGAAACAAATAGTTATTGAAAACCTGTGGATAAAACCAGAATGATCAACCTGTATGCAAATGAGTTAGTGGAGATATGCACTAAGCTCTGCACAATAAAACAGCACACACGGCCTAGGGTAATATCTAGACAACGTGTTAACACAATGTTCTTCAACAAAACAGAGTTTAAAATACCTAACTATCTCCTAGCTAAATGTTTTAATCCTAATCTATACGTAATCTAATAGTCGTGGGAGAATTCTATCTATGCACGAGACGTGTGTCTCGCACGCTCCTTTTATACACATCTTCTTGATGCTCTTGTTGGCCGCCAAGGCGAGGATGGTCGGCTAGCTGGCCATGGCTTCCGACCCCTACTAGTTTAATGTAGTATTTGTCGCCTATATACTGTAAGTTTCCATAACGTGATCTCCAACGGATTATC